GGACAAGCTCTGTCTTTTTTCGTAGCTGTATCAGCATTTGGTACATTAGGCGCTTTGGTATGGAGGTTAGTGTGAAATTTCTATTTCTCAAAAAAAAAAAAATAAATGAGCTTTTTTATACTAATATAACAATTATTTAGTGGGTCACGTGTAGTACAAAGAACTGCCAAAATGGGTTATTTTCTTATAGGAAGAAAATGGCTTCGAGTAATGAAAAAAGATGGTACTCCTGTGAACACCTTAAAATTGCAATTCATATGGTGTGCGCTTATAATCGTGATTATAGGCGGTGTAACATCGGATCCTTTTAAAATCTTATCCGATTACTCTCAGTATAGTTACTGGATCTTTTACTGCTTGACAGGAATAGGGTTGTTTGTAAGTGCTTTTTTATTCTTCAAAGTTTCCAAAAGGATCACAGCGATCACTCGTAATAAAAAAAACAATTCTTAATTCTCAGACTCTGAAATCAAGATCTTCAAGACCAGACCATCGGTGGCTTGCGGTTATTGTATTTATTCTTTGTTCTTTTTATATTTTAATTTTTTCCTTTATAGATAATACTAGTAATTCTAATAACCCTGACGATAGCAATAATAATAGTATCTTTCAACAATGTAATATAACAAAGTCCTCAAAAGCTCCCCACTATTTACCATTTGTAGTGAGCCTTGGTGTTTTGGGTATCGGCTTTATAATTTGGTTTTTCTTTTATTGTTTTGATGAAAGTTCCCTTTTGGATGAACAACCAGATGAACAACCAGATGAACAAAATAATGAACAAATGAATGAAGAAATGGGTGGACGAATGGAAGAAGAAATGGGTGGACGAATGGAAGAAGAAATGGGTGGACGAATGGACAAAGAAATGGATGGACGAATGGACGAAGAAATGAATGAACGAACGGATGGAAAAACTCTTGAAATAATTGATTATTGATTATTCAATCTTAACATCTCATACCCTAAAAAAAATTTTTTTTAATGATCATTTATGCTGTTGATTATTTTCTTCGCATTTACCACACTAGTCATCTTACACACACAATCAAAACCTTATCATTCACATACTGTATATATTATGTACAATAGATATTATTTTTAATAAATCATTTATCATTCCACTCGATTATCTTTGTATTTCGTGATGAAAAATAATTAAGTTATTTTGATCACATCGTAGAGTAGTGTCATGTTGACCGGAATTTCGTAAAGTATTTTTCAATCAAATATACTGTATTTATTTAATAAAGCATATCACGTGAATATTTGGTTGTCGAAAAAAATTTGCCAAAAAATTTTTTTTCTTTTAAAAAAAATATATTAATAAAGTAATGATTATACAGTATCATGTTCTGTCAATTATATTTTAAAATGGAAATGCTATAGGAGAATATATTAAAGCTATTTTCGCCATAAGCAGAATTTAAGTAGAATAATAAAAAAAGTCAATAAACTAAACATTCTTATAAAAATTAAATTATTAAATTGATATGATTTTACTGTGTAAGCGAAATTGTTTTTTCTTAAGTACGGATTAAAGTTTATAAAATTAGATTTTTTTTTAACACATTGTATTCAATAGCACAGTTTTTTTTCGTCACCCTTGCGCCACTCGTACATGGCGCGTGTGGAGTGAAATTTCCGAATTTATTTTTTCACGTGATCGTCACGTAGTAAAATTTACGAATTTGCGCGAAATTTTATAAGTTTTATTAGTAAAAAAATAAATTTAATCTTTGATATTTTTATTTTAAAAATTTATTTTAATATACAGTATATAATTTTAATGTATATTATATAAAAAATTTTATACTGTAAATAATAAGGTTTAAAATAATTTTTTTTTTTAATTGGATTAATAAAGTAAGAATTTCTTTTTTTTTTATTAAAAGAATACTGTATATTATTAAGAATATTTCATTTAAATTATTATTATCAAATATTTCATTATTGATTATTTCATTATTATCAATAATATTATCAATATTTGTATTAATATTTTTATCAATATCATAATTACTGTATTTTCTTTTAAACTTTATATAAATTAAAAAAATTTAACAATTCTTCAATTACTAATTTATAATATTAAAAACAATAATTTAAATTTAAATTTAATAAATTATTAAAACATATAGAATAATATATATCTATATATTAAAATTTTTATACAAATTTATATTATTACAAAATTTTAAATCATAAAGTTTTTCTTTATTTAGAATTTGAATAGTATAATATATTAATAAAAAAATTCCTTTTATAAAATTTTTTCAATTAAAAGAATATAAATTTCAATTTTAATTTATATTTTTTTCAATTTTATATTTATTTTATTTTTGATAAAAATTTTTTAAAAAAAAAAAATCTAAAAAAAAATATAAAATTAAACAAAAACTTACATTTTTAAAATTTTTAAAAATTTCAAAATTTTTTATTCAAATTTTAATTTATCTAACATAAATAATATAAAGCAATAAATTTATTTTGTCATGGTTTTAATTTTTTAGTCAAATTATATTTTTATTAAAAACATCTTTATATAATTTGTTAAAAAAGAATGAAATTTAATAATACATATTTTACAAGTATTTAATAAAATATATAAAAGTTTAAGTATAGATATAAAAATAAGTAATTTTATTTGAAATATTATTAAAATAAAAGTAAAAAGAATTTTTATACAATTAATTTTTTTATATTTAATTATTCAGAAAAATCCATTAAAACAAATATAATATTATTTTAAATAATTATCTATATTTTAAATTAGATAATATAAAATCTATAAGTTTTATAGTTTTAAATTTTTTTATATGTTGATTTTCAAAAATATTATCATACATATAAATAGATAAAAATTCTATTAAATTTTTAACAAATAATATTAAAATATTAGAAATATTATTCTATTCAATTTATGAAATTATAACTATTTTTATTTTATTATATAATACCTTTTAAACTTGATTAATTTCTATTAAATTAGTTTCATAAGGGGAGTGTCACATATTACGTAATTATCAAGGGAGGGAGGAGGGTTCTCAAATATCTCATC